TTGAATGATGCACAACATTATGAATAACATGAAATTCAGAATCGGATATGTGAGGTGTAAGGGGAAACAAAACTTGAAAATGTGATGATGGTGATAAATTAAAAGGAAAACATCCTCAACAAATGAAACATCTCTACTTAAAAAAACATTTTTTTAATCCAAACCGAAAAGAATATACCTTTTGAGAAGTAGAATTACCACAAAAATCAAAGAATAGATTTAGAAGACAATTTGTCACTATAACATGGTTGAAATGCATAGAAAATACAACCAAAGATCCAAAAATGAGAAAAATCAGGTGGCTTTTGATATAAAACTGAAAAAATGAGATTTCCAAGAAAGAACTGAGGAAGGCAACCTATTGAGAATACATCCCCCAAAATTTAACCGGGCATTAGACTGAAAACACAAAGCTCGATTAATTTCTAAAGGTGTTTGTGTTTACGTTCAACAACCCCATTTTGTTATGGGGTATCAACACAGGAACTTCGGTTGACAACTACCAAGAATAAAAAAAAGAACAATAAGAACTAAAGAAGTTTGACCATTATCACTATGAACAAACTTAATAACAGCAGAAAATTGAGTACGAACCATAGCAAAGAACTTCTTAAGAGCAAGTAAAATATCAGATTTAAGCTTCAATAAGTATACCCTTGTCAAGAAATCACTTGTTTGCGGAATGTTCTTATGCTACTTCGCTGTGGAATTCAATCATGAACCTTTCAAATATGTGTAACACGCATTCTTCCTGGGAATCAAGGATAAGATGAGCTGCTCAACAGTGGAAAGGCAAATCTTTGATTACTACCATTCTGAAACTTTCTTGGACAGCTTTCATTTACTCCACATGGGAAGAAAGGAATAGACGAATTTTTAGAAGAGAATCAAGATCTCCTAAACAAATCTTACATATTGTAAAGGACCTTGTTAGAATCAATCTTAGCGATAGGAACTTCAATAGAACAGATGATGTTAATATTAACTTATGTAACTCATGGGGTATTGACTGATCATTATTTTATTGTAATTAGCGTTTACTCCATTTAGGATGTTTTGGTGTACTTTCTTCATTGGATAATAAAATTTTTACTTATCCAAAAAAAAAACAATGACCACTATGAATTGAAACTCGATATGACTCCCAAAGAACATGATGTATTATCTAAAAAGGAACCTCTGTCCAAGAAGTACTAATTGGAAAAGGAAGCCTTGACTATTTATCCATAGGATACACAGTACATTGAAATATATTATCAACAGAAACATCATTAAAAATGAAAATGATGTAATTTATTGACAGGGACATGCCCCAAACAAGCATGCCACGAAGGAATTTTATTAGAAATAGAAGCAATACAAGAAGATTGTTCAGTAATTCCAAATGAAGGTAAAGAAGACAACATGATAGTTTAGTCAAAAAAAATGACGGCCTTTGGAGTATTTACCAATCCCTTTCATCTTGCTAGTGCAAATATCCTACAGAAGGCAAAATTCAAAATAAAAATGGATAACATATTTTAAATCATGTGTTATAAGGCTCTCACTGAAACTAGGTACATACGAGACACCTTTTTGGGAAATACCATCAGTCAAAGAAATAGAGCCAGTATGTGTTATAGAGGACGGGTGACCATTGGGTAATATAACGAACCTAGAGTCTGGAGGATAAGAAACATGAAATTTAAAAAATCCAGAATCAAAAGATATGTGATTAGTTGCCCCAGTATCTAACATCCAGAAAGAAGAACCACTGACATGAGATCAAGATGAGAGAATACATGCCAAATATGTAGATGTTTCATTGGTAGGAGCCATGTTAAGCTTCTCTAGAATCTGTGCATACTGCTGAGGGATGAACATGGGAGCAACTGGAGCAGCTAGAGAACTATCATCAGATTTAGACTGAACAACAGCAACAACTTGAGGAGCTCTCTTCTTGCTAAACTTGAAGTCAGCAGGGAACCCGATCAACCATTAACAAGAGTCTCTCTTATGCGCCTTCACCTTGCAATAGTCGCAAACACCAGTTAAACAGTTGCGAGAACCAGAAGTCGTGGAATGCAATCTAATCAGGTATCGGGGAAACACCAAATGCCAAAGCCCTCTCAGCCTTCTCTTGACCAATCATGAAGTAAGCTTGATTGACATATGGCAAGGGTTGCATCAATAATATTTGACTCTAAATAGTAGCATAAGTCTTAGTGAGACCCATGAGGAATTGCAGAAGATGTTGTTGATTAGAATGCCTCAAATTCTGTTGAGTTACCTCACAACCACAATTAAAAAATATCACAAGAGCAGTAAACTCATCCCAAAGCAATTTTAGCTTTGTAAAGGAAGATGAAACGGAAGAGTTACCATGATTTAGAAGAGAAATTTCTCTGTGAAAAAAAATTCGTTAACCGTCAACCTTGCTAAACCACTCCTTGAGATCCTCCCAAACGGTAGCAGCATCAAAAGCGAAAATAATTCCAGCAGAAAGCTCTTGACTAATGGTGTTGAGAATCCACGAAAGGACAATACCATTTCATCGATCCTACTGAGCATGAAGAAACCTCATCATAATTCTCTCAACGTAAAACTCCATCAACAAAAACAAGTTCGTTTTTGGCAAGCAATGCGATGCGCATTGAGTGATTCCAAATGTTATAATTGTCAAGCCAGTCAACTGAGAAGAGACCAAAATGGTACTTGGAGTGGATGACGGGCGAAGATAGGTGAATGATGAAAAGTAATTTCATCCATAACCAGTCGGAGAAGAAACAAGAAGGAAAAAAAACCTGGAATTGGGGGGAAAAACGAACACGAAAAATGACAACTGTCGTTTTGACGTTAAAATAAGGAAATACGTAGTAAAGAGAAGTAATGATCGATAATCAGAGATTAGAAAATTTCAAATTTCTGTTTGAATAGTTTTAAACCAGACGATAAGTAGCAAAACAAAAAGGAGTTTTTGGTAAAAAGAGATTAAATAATAAAACGTGAAGAAAAATAAAGAAAATAAAAATTGAAGATTGAAAATGAGTATGATAAAACAGCCTTAAGTCTCGCTTTGACTCAATTTCCTTTGTATCATCGAATTAGATTTTCCCTTCGGGATTCACGTCGGTTACTTTGTCTACAAGGGCAATCCTCGTGACTTAATTTTGTATACCGAATACCCAAGGCAATCTTAGATTTCGGCTTCGAAAATTTATTTGATTAACATCAATTGTCGTAGATCAATAACCGTTTAAGTTCGTGAAGACCGACTCAGATTGTTGTTTCAATAACTACTAATTCCGATCTCAATTCCCTCTTGGCAAGGCTATCTCGCCAAATGTGTTCCCAAGAAGTCGAATATGCTTTCAATAAGTCGATCATTCATCTCATACAAGTAACAACATCTTGACCAAAGTCAATCTTTGATTTTGAAAACTATTTGATTTTGAAAAATAAATGCAGAGATTGAGAGAGATATTCCGAAGTTATTAATGTGCTTTTCAATTCTCACGTTTGAATTGAGTCATCGCTTCAGCTATCGGCTTATGAGAAAATTAGTTAAGCATGACAAAAGTCATACTTAGCATTTTTTAAAAACAAAACTTAAAATAAGAGAAATGAAAACTTGAAAAATAAAAAAGAGAACTTTTATAAAACTACAAAGGAGAAGAAGAATAAATTACAAGTTGTGTCTTTAGGCTTACCCCAAGAGGGTATTTATAGCCTCTAAAAACCTAGAGATAAACAAAGAAATTAAAATAAAAATAATCTTAAAGATAATTCCAAATAATTTCTAAATTCAAACTTTAAAATTTAAAAATGAGTCTCCTAATATAACTCTGTCCGTCCACATTCCAGAAGGCGCTGACTAGATCTTCTAGAAAACTGCTGCTGACTGAACCTTCTAGAAACTGTCACATCATACCGTGTCATGCCCAGAGTCGTGCCCATGTTTCCAGCCGTGACCAAATAATAAAAAAAATGAGAATGCACCCGTTTTACTATTAAATCTGAAAGTAAGACCCTGCACGAAAATAAGCATAACACAACTAAATCAACAGCAATAAATCCATAAGATTGAAGATTTAACAAGAAAATAATATCGATTCAGAACACTCATCAAAGAAGAAGAATGAAAACCCAACTTACAGGCCCAAAACCCCAAAGGATCGAAAGAATGGATCGTATGATACCATGTTAAAAATTGTTGTTGTATCGAGTTAAATTGTACAATAAGTTTACAACCCTTTATATAAAAACACTAATCAACTTATCTATTAACTGCTTAATGACTTCCTAACAATCTAACTAATCTTAACAAACCAACCATCTATACACAAGTTAATTCGATAAGTTCGTGAGTAATTTATTATTTTTTAAGGTGTTGAATAACTTATTTTTAGAATTGATTATGTATTGTTAAATTTCTTTTTTTTTAAGAATGGTTATAATACGTTACTTTTAGTGTATTTATATATTGTTACTTTGGTTGTAATATGTTAGTTTTGTGTATTGTTATCTGGAATTTAGGCTTTAGAATTGTTTCACACACTATTTTATGTTTTTGTTAAATTTTTTTAGCTTATTTTTATATTAAGCTATAGTATTACTAAATTTTACATATATTTCAAAAAACAAGAAATGAGTTTAATGAATAATGAGTTGAACACAAGTAAAACAATTTTTAAGTAGAGTCGGACACAAATTAAATTGTTTTCAAATTGAGTCATACATTATTCAATTCGTGATCGATTTGCTCTACTAACACCCTAATTATATATGTACGTATTTTACTGGAAAATATGTATGATTGTGAAAATCAATCATAAACCGAGCTTGATTCAATTCTTTGAAATCTTAATTGAATTCTAATTAATTTTTATGAGATATCCATTTTAATAAAGTACACCTTTTATATTTAAAGGAATTATAATTGGAATAATTATTATCATTTAGTATTTAACCGATAATTTATAATTAAAAAAAAACCCAAAACTTAAAGGGTAGTTCAGATTTTATTCAATGGTCAAACTAGCCAAAATCCAATACAATAAAGCTGCAGAGGAGGAGGTGAAAAACCATGCATTGTTGTAAATCACAACAAAAATATCAGAAACCGATGATAGAATCCCCACCTTTTGCAAGAATCCTGGGATTGCTGGCAATATCCCAATTACTAGAGCTATCATAGCTGCCGAATTGAAGCCCCCAGAATAGTAATATGCCCCATCAGGACTTAAAGAATACAAGTCGTCCAGGCTTAATTTGGTTCGTCGAATAAGATAATAATCTGCTAATACTATGCCGAAAATTGGACCGAGCAATGCCGAGTACCCGACTAGCCATGTATATATAAAGCTCTCGCTGGATTTGAGTAATCTCCAAGGCTGGAAAGCTATGCAAAACAGTGCAGTGAAAACAGCAGCCCTTCTGAATGTGAAATTGGAAGGGCTTAGATTGACCAATGCATTTGCTGGTGGAACAACGTTGGCTGCAATGTTGGTTGTCATTGTAGCTAGGCTTATTCCGAGAATGGCTAGGACCATTGTTGTAAACCCTCCGATTTGACCGAGAAGCTGAATTGGATTGGAGATGACATGGCCAAAGATTACTTGAGTAGAAGATGTTACTGCTAGGCCAACACATGTGAATGCCCCCATGAAGATCGGAAGACCGGCCTGACCGATGATTTGATCCCACTGAGTCTTGGCGAACCGAGTGAAATCAGGGATGTTAAGTGCTATTGTAGCCCAGAAACTTATGTTTGCCGTGAGTGAAGGGAAAAACAGAGACCAAAACTCCGAAGTAGATAGCCTAGAGGATATGGTTAGCATGTGGCCTAAACCAGCAGCCTTGACATAAGCCCAAACGAGAAGAAATGAAGTGAGTACCATCAGAATTGGTGCCGCATACTTTTGGAAGGTTTTAATTCCTTCCATCCCTTTCCAAACTACGGCCAACTGAGCGAAAGAAAAGGCCATAAAACAAGCGAATTCGAGAGGGGAAGTGCCGAGCCATGGTAAGACTTGAGAAAAGGACGACTGTTTAATGGAGTTGGGGAGAAAAAGGTAGATTGCTTCACCTCCAATCCAGCTCTCAATCCCATACCAGCCACAACCAACCAAAGCACTAAGTGAAGTAGGAACATGGGCACCGCGGATACCGAACGACGATCTAGCCAAGACAGGGAAAGAGATGCCATATTTGGTGCCAGGGTGACCCGTGAGGACTAATGGCACTAACAAAATCATGTTGGCAGCAACAACAGTGGCAATCCCTTGCCACCAAGCCATCCCAAGATCAACAAGACTACCAGCCATGTAATAAGCCGGAACGCCAACAACGATACCGATCCAATGACTGGCCAGTCGCCACCAGTGGTAGTTCCTTTGACTTGGTAGTGTTGGTAAGAGATCATCATTAGTGAGTTTTGGATGAGGATCAAATTCGTCAAGCCTTTTTCCAATACTGAACCGACCAGAAGATGATGATGATGCCCTGGGAGTTAATATGGCACATCTTTTGGTCTTAAATTTGCCGGGTTTGACCGCTAAGGATAAAGAAGTGGGAGAAAGGCTTGGGAGTTTTGGATATTGGGGAGTTGCAGAGTGAAGAGAAAGGTGGAAGATGATGCATTTGGAAGCCATGACTCCCAACGCTCCAAACTGAGGCAGAAACCGGGGGGTGTCGGTTGTTTGGAGATAATATAAGACGAGTGGTGTTTAATAGAAAAATTCCATGGTTAAGTGATTTAATATTATCTGTATCCTATTATCTTAAACAATTTGCTGCCGTTAGATGAAAAAAATATTCATCTAAACCACTAAAACGAAAATAAATAAACATGAATATTATAATGGTAATATTTGAGATATGACTGTCGTGGGCAGTTCATTCTTTTCGATTTATATAGAGAAATACAGTTAATAATCTTACGACGGATGACTGGTTTAAGATAACAGATAGTATCTTATGTACTGAGAGGAGAAGAGAGAAGAAAGTCTCCTCTCAGTCTTGTATGAGAAATTTTATAATATTTCTTAATTTGTCGTTAGACCTAAAATTATGATAATTATTTCTAGATTATATGACACATATATATGATCGTACGATAAATTTTATTCTACTACATCATGTAAATCTACTAAAAGTCTTTGCTAAAAGATCTTGACTGACTAAGAATACGGATCTTCAGAAGCTTTGCCAATCTGATTTCGTCTAAGAGTTGAGAGTTTTTTGAGATGAAAGTGGAGAATCTATTAGCATATACCGGTTTAGCAAAGTTTCATGGTTTGAGTAATTGCCTGATGGCCTCAGGATTTGAGCTACGCCATCTCCTTTGAGACATCAATTATAGTTTTTGTTGGTTTTCTTGTTCGATTAACACGTGCAGAGAAGGACAATAATTTATAAGCCAACAACCGAGGCGCTACCCTTTGGCCTTTTGTATGCGTGTCATGCTGTCTTTGATACCACCAGATATCGTTGACAAAATTGCTTGATAAGCCGATGAAGTTATTGCTTGGCCCAAAAACTCTTTTAATTAGGATAATATGTGGAAGATGTTTAAATATATTATCAATAAATAAATAAATTATTTAAAATAAATATAATTATTATATTTTTATCGGATGACTTATGTTAATTATAGACCTTACAAACTTAACCTGAATCAAATTATCCGAATCGATTTACCTGACTTAATACCCGATATTAACCTATACATGATAAATTTGACTTGAAACCCGAACCATACTCGATCAAAAATTCAACTGACCGAATATGGACCCTATCGAGTTCGACCTGAACCGAAAATAACCCGAACCAAAATTAACCATAACTGAGCAACCCGAAATGAAACTAACACAAACCGAAAGCAATCTGAATCGATAGCAACTCAGACCGAATTTAACCTAATCCAAAAGCAACCCAAACTGAAATTAATTCGAACCGAAAATCTATATATACTTGATTAGACTTATGATTGAATTAAGCCTAAATTATAAGATTAACGAATAATAAGACATATTTTTATAAGAATATATCAATAATTTATATATACTTAATTAGACTCATAACAAATTCAAACTGATTTGATTTAATCCAAAGGTTGACCCAAACCAAAAATCAATTGATCTAATATTGACCAGATTCGAAAATCAATCGATCCGATACTGACCCGAACCAAAATCTAACTGATCCGATATTAAACCGACCCAAAGGTCAAATGATCTGAAAGTGATTTGAATTGAAAACAACAAATCTGATAATCACTCGACCCAAAATCTAACCGATCTGATATTAGCCCGACCCAAAGGTCAACCGATCCGATATGGATCTGAACCGACCCGACCTGACCTGATTTATCATACACCTAAACTAAATCTGAAACAGATCTGATTCAGCTCAAATAAAATTAAAAAGAATATAATCTAGACCCGAAATGACCCGACCCAAAATGACTCGAACCAAACCCAGTCCGAATGCCTTGTTTGCCACCTATACTTAAATTATAAAGAAGACGGAGAGAAGTTGTCTCATCAACACATAGAAAATAGATATCTAATCAAGAAATATTTTTAAAATTAAGTTTACAACCAGCTAACTTTTATATTTTTCTAAGTATATGTTAATTGTCATAAAATTATGATAATTTACATATATGATAGTCCTCAAGTTAATGTAGGAAGAATTCGAAAGTTCAACATGAGAAAAAGAAATTTATGTAGTTGGTTATCTAATGCTTTTGTGAAGATGTCAACAAATTGACCTTGTATAACAACAAAAATAATAGTGGTGCTTGTCAAACTATTCTTATTATGTATAAAATAATAAGACTTAAAATCAACTAGAGATCTTGGTAGTAAAAGGAGTATTATTCTCTCTAGATGTCTCAAGTTCAAACAGTTGTGTCTATGAGGTGTGTACATTGTCAATTACTAACAAAGATTCTGAACAAATATTATCTTATAATTATATCAAACTAATAAAAAAAACTTAATGCTAGTTTCATTGTCCTATACTTAATCTATATGCAATTTAAATAAAAAAAAATTGTTAGTATTTGAGTGCAACGTAGAGGTATTCAATGGTTAATTGGATACCAATCAAATCGAATTAATTGATTTTTTTACTGCTAATTGAATCGAATTTTTCTGAAAATATTAACCAAATCAAATAAAGTTGAGTTAATTTTTTTAGTTAGAATGATTTAAGTTTAATTGAAGTTTTTTTATTTGAGGTTAAATTTTTATTAGGTTTTGATAATTTAATGAGTATAGTGTAGTTAAAAATAATTGGGTCTTAATTCTTAATGAGTTTGAACTTAAAATATGTATTTTGTTGAAAACATTTTGATGTTTCGATATAACAAACTAAGTATAAATGAATTTTAAGATTTTACAAAAGATTTTTATAAGTATATTCGATTCAATTAATCGAATATCAAATTATTACTCCAAGTCTTTCAAGATCAATTTCAAACCTTACTAAATGTGTAAAATTGTTTTTTATACTTAATATATTTTTGAAACAATTTTCACAAAGTATTTTTGAACCAAAATCAAGCCTAAAATCAATTTTTAAAAGTGATGCACCGATGCACCAATCCATGTATCGATGCACCATGGAATAAATTGAACATCGAATGCATTTTATGCATCGATGCACAAGCCATGCATCGATGCACTCTTGCTATTTTGAAACATCGAATGCATTTCATGCATAGATGCACTCTTAGTGCACCGATGCACTAAGGGTTCAACGGTCAAAATATTTGAATTTTACACTTGATGCACCGATGCACCATGGGTATGCATCGATGCACAGACGCTCCCAATTGATTTTATTAATTGTTTTCACACTTAAATGACTATAGTGACTCCACTAACCATCCCCAACGTTCATAATCATTTGAAGGAGTATTTAAACAAGTTCTGAAGCCATTGATCAATAACAATCAAGAAGAAATCATAGAGAAACAAGAGAGAAAGCATCAAACATCATGTTTGTGCAATTCAAGCCAAATTTCCTTTCAATATTCATTTTGCTTTCAAGAACACATTTTGTGCTCATTTGTAATCATCTCTTAAGTGTTCTTATCTTGTTCTAGAATTGTGCAAACATATTTCCTTGTGAGGTTTTCCTTGTAAGTTTGCAAATTTGTGTATTTCTCTTTGAAAAAGAGTGTGCTCAAGAATTGGGGTATAATTCTTGAGGGAGTTGTAAGGTTACTCTTTGTCCTCAAAAGAAAGAACAAATTAGTGAATTTGTTGGAAAATCCTTAGTGTGGATAGCTAAGGTAGTGGACGTAGACTTTGGTTGAGAAAGTCGAACCACTCTAAATCGCTGGGCAATTACTTTCAATTTTCTGCAAAAGCTTCCACCAACTTTTTAATTGCCAATTCACCCCCCTCTTGGCCAATTCTGTCGATCAATTAACTCAACAATTAGTATCAGAGCTTGACTCATTTGAAGGTTTAACCGCCTCTTGAGTAGATATGGGAAGAGTTAAATTGATAAAGATAGCGTCCACTTCCGGTTAATTCTCCATGGAAGAATCCAGATCAATTGACGTGCCTCCTTACTTCAATGGAACAAATTATCATCGTTGGAAGAGGATCATGATGATATTTATCCAAGCACATGATCGAGAAAGGATATTCCTCTCCTACAAAGAAGGCAAAGAAGTGGAGTGATCAAGAACGGAAGAAAGCTCAACAAAATACAAAGGCTATGCACATGTTGTGTTGTGCAATTGATCCTAATGTATATAAAGGAGTTTCTTCTTGTTCAAATGCCAAGGAGATGTGGGATAAGCTTGAGGAGATCTATAGAGACAAGGAAGAAGAAGAACCAATAAAAGTGATGTCTTTATTAGCTCTCACAGGCCAAAGGTATCTTCTAGCTCAAATAGAATAAATTCAAAATCTTTTAATGAGTTACAAGATGCCTATGATGAATTATTTTTGGAGTTTGAGACCATGAACTCCAAATACAATAAATTTATTTCTAAATTTATTGCTAAAAATGATCTTCTTTTGAAAGCTAAAACAGACTTGAAAATCAAAATGAAATATTGAGAAAGGAGTTAGAGCTTTCAAAAATAAAATCTGAAAACTTTGAAAAAGAAAATTTCAAATTAAACAAACTTCTTCTAGAAACGAAAATGGATTTTGAAAAACAAAATGAAATCTTGAAGAAGGATTTAGAGCTTTCAAAAATAAAATTTGAAAGTATTGAAAAAGAAAATTTTGATTTGAAAGTTAAGCTTGAATGTTTAATAAAAGAAAAAGATATCATTTTAAATAATTCATCTAGTTCAATAATGAAAATATGTTCACATTGTCATTATCATGGTCATAAGGAACATACTTGTCCTTTAAAGAAAGGAAAATGATTTAAAATTAGACAAGTATGAGTTTCAAAAGGAACAAGAGGCATTGAAACTAATGTTCAAGGATCCAAAGCAATTTGGATACCAAAATCTACTTAAATGTCTCTTGTAGGTGTGTGGGAGCAATGGTGATGAAGATGATGATATTAAAGATGCTCTAGCCACACATGAAAAAGGAATGGGTAACCTCTAAACTTAATGTTTTTATTTTATTTGGTTGCTCGTTTAGTTTATGCATGCATGAGGTCTTAAATGTTGAATAATTCTAAATGATTAAGTTTTATCTCATGTATGTTACAAAATATTGTAT